TGAATTCATAAGCTGTTAAAAGCATCTGAAAGGTTTTACTGCCACATCAATTTTGGGAAAAATGTTTAGTATATACAATATTCTTTCTTGATAAATTTTGCGCTCAGTTCTTCTCTTAAAAATTCACAAGCATAAAGACTAACGGCTGCGATTATGAATAGGGCACCATTTTCAGCGCTTGAACATGTCGTTCGAACAGCCAATATAGAGCGTTTTAACTCAAGACAACTGGCAGCTGTGTTTGTTTATTGGCACGAGATTGACTTGGTACTGATTCCGATATGGTTTCTGATTCGTGGTTTTCGTTACAAAAAAAACTAATTTGTCTAACCTGACAGCACTCGAAAACGCTTTATAGCCCAGCTGTTACCGACCAAAATTGTTCACTTTTAAGATAAAAGCATGGCACTTCGCCAAATTACAACTAACCCTAAGACTAACATTTTTGGTTGTGGGTCCAACCCTAATTTACCACTGGACACGAGTACTGCGCAAGCCCTAATATGGCCCATGTGAAAACAGCCACAGTTTTCTTTATTCAAAGCAAAAATGTGAACGACCAAATGTAGCAGGCCGTTTAGTCCGGTAGCCGAGGTAGGAAAATTGTTATTTCGAATTCGTTCAACCCACGGGTCAGAAAAGGTTTGATACCGGATTTTGGTAGAACATGACCTACTAATCATTGCCTAATAACTTGTAAGGTCGATTTGTGGTATAGGTTTCTAGTATATGGCGTTTTTATGCCACATACCTTACGGTCCAGCATGAAAACGAGCCTGATACCTGAATCACCATTTACCTGCTAATTTTTTGGTTAAAAATCGCTAAAAAAAAAAAAGGTAACTTACTCAATGTTCAATGTAACAAAGGAGATGATTATATATTTTCGAGTCAACAATGTCACGTGACTGATCGCGTTACTCGCACAAGGACATATTATTTGCTTGAAATAAAGGAAAATCGCGCTTTGATTGCTTTTCTTTTTTCTTTCAAAGAACCAGTTTAAATATCTGTACTTTGTTTAGCATTAGCTGTTTTCCTTTATTAACTTTTTGCATGTAACGGATAGATTAAAAAAACATTTTTGACATTTTTATAGCACTTGACATATAGAAAATCGCTCTGTGAACGTGACAGACGGAGAGTTTTTTTTTTTTTGTAGGAATTAGAGATCGTTGAGAAAAAAGCTACATGTTATTACGTGAAATTGTCTATTTTCGTACTCAAAAGAGAAAAATACAGCATTTATGGATTGCTTCAGGAGCGTAGGCTGTTCCAAAGCATGAAAAGAAGACACGGGTTGACTCCTGAGAAGAGGGTCGCTCTCAAAATATTGCTGATTAGGTTGAGGTCGTATCGAAGGAGGGAAGTGTATCAGAGAGAGTTAACCAACTAAAAGAAAGAGCTTGACGGTACTGGCATCTCTGTTTGAAGTCACCAAATCGCACGCAAAAGCCCCGTCAAAGATCTTTGCAATTTGTTGGCAGTATGGTTTCATGCATGGTTAGTACATTTTCACGATTCATCAAAGCGGAACGAACATACAAATTGGCACTTGCTTCTAATATATCTGCCCTTGCAATTACGACGCCGCATTTTTTCTCATTGGACAGGCCTGTAACTATGCACGATGGCTACCAGTTTACCTTGCTGGTATATGAAGCAACTGGAGTCACAACACTCAAAAGTGTATAAGGAATTTGTTGCTGAAAATCACTCCTTTAGCCGCAACGATCAGGCATTTTCTCCTGTCTCAGCTGACACAACCCTGGAGCAATCTACGTAGCCGACTCGAAGTCAAAGGCTGGGAGTGTTGGCATACCGTAAAATTCCGAAAATAAGCCCCTCCATGTATAAGCCCCTCCAAATATAAGCCCCCCAAACCGGTAACGCAAAAAACCGTCCGTTAAATTGCCCCTCCTTATATAAACCCCCCGGGGGCTTGTACTTTGAAAATTGCCATCAAATACAAAGTAAAACAAAGTAAAAACGATAAATTTACTTCCAACTATAAGGCTAGCCCAATCGATTTTGAAACGCAAATTTCCTTCCGTAGATAAGCCCCTCCGTATATAAGCCCCTCCAAAAATAAGCCCCTCAAAAAGGGTCTTTGAAAAATATAAGCCCCAGGGCTTATTTTCGGAATTTTACGGTATCTCAAAGTCCAAAATCGCTAGAATGGTTGTTTCTAACTATTCACCAAAGAGCCTCATAGCTGTGAAAAAGATGTGTGGTTCTGACAGAAAATGACCACGTAACAACACAAGAAGGCCGCACTAAAGAGATTGAAGCGTGATTAAGAAGACGTCAGGAAGCTTGTTGACTATTTTTCCCTTGTCTGGTTTATTGAGTAACCCTTTCGTCCAAGAAATGGAGTCTCTAGTTAACTTTGCTACCGGCGTAGAACTGACTTCAAATGTTGCAGAGGGCCTTGTTAGCAGTAATGAAAAAGGTCGAGAACAGACGAAAATCTTTGAACACCAATACTGTAAATCTTTGGGATCCTGTTCCAAGCTTGAAGGTAAATACATTTAGTACCATGTCCGAGAGAATGTTAAGGCTGCATTAAGGCTGCAATACTGTATAACACTGACAAAGACCTCTTTGGGCGGCTACACATTAACACCCAACAAATCAATTTGAAGGAAGGTTTGTGCTATGAGTTGGCCCTCATTTCATGCGAACTCGCACACCAAGATGGCTGCTTGTGAAAAACCTTACAAGAGTATTCTATATTAACCACAACTGAGAAAGAGCTCAACGTCGTTGAACATTAAGTTAGTTACCATTTTTTAGGGATTTTCTAAGAAAGAATTAGGAGGTAAATGGTGATTCAGGTTCCAGCCTCGTTTTCATACTGGACAGTAAAGTGTGTAAAATAAGATCGCCATTTACTCGAAACCTATACCACAAATTGACCTTACAAATTATTAGGCAATAATCAGGAGGACTTGATCTACCAAAATCCGGTATCAGACCTTTTCTGACCCGTGGGTTGAACGAAACGACAATTTTCCGACCTCGGCTACTGGACTAAACTGCTTCTACGTTCGATTTTGGGGTTAGACCAATGCATTTTTCTATCAGACAGAGAACGAAGAAGAAGATACATTTATTTAGCTAGGGTAACTCCTACAGTTACAAAAACTGATATCCTTAGAGGCCCTAGATAAAAAAGAAAGATAAAAATATGTTAAAAATACTTAAAACTAGTCCTAACTAAGCTAATAGAAAAATATCCTAAAAAAGGATAAAAATTATTACAAACTATTAATAAAAACTACAAATTACGATTAAAAACGTCACGTCCATGATAATAAAAAGCTTTTTTCGTACATTCTAATTTGATGGAGGGAAGACGGAGATGATTACTTTGGCGCGCTTTTCAATGTACGATATCTCTATTAAAATAAAAGTAGTCCATTAAAAATTGCGGGCAGCGCTTATTTAGACATTTCTTCACAAGGTTTAACACGTGAATCTCCCGTCTAAGCCCCAGCGTATCATATTTAAGGTGAGCTAGCGCTTCATCACTGCTGTTGTTGTTGTTCTCTCGATTTCCCTCATCGGCACTTTATCAAAAGACTGAATGACTGAGTGTTCTCCAAATGTTTTCAATGTTTTTTAAAATGACAGTGAAATTTAAAAGAGCCTCTATTTTAGATCTTTGACCCTTTCTTTTTCCCCTTATTTTCTAGCGCGTTAGGATCGTTTCCTTCAGCGATGGCCAACTTTTTCTTGAGCTCCAAAGAGACGACAACTTCAGCATCCACTGTGGCTTTTTCAGCCTTTTCAGCCTATAATTTTCTCACCTTGTCGCCCTTAAAACAAATTACGTTACGGTATGAATATTTTATAGAGAAATAAGCAGCTTGAACTGCTGCTTTACGGTTGTCGCTAATAGGCGAATCTTTGTCATTATCTGATGAAGTTAATAAAATAAAACCCCAGAATACTGAAAGAGCACAACAATTCCAGTTATATGTGAAAATTTGAGCCCGACATACCGAATGGTTTCGAAAAGATTCTCTTTTAAAAACTCGAAATTTTACAAAGAATGTATGGCTCATTAACGTTTTTGCCACCCAGCAATTTCGCAGTTTTAGATGCCTCTCACTGATTTCCTTCAATATTGCTTTTAATAAGCTGAAAATTGCACAAATTGTTTAAGCTAATCAGCTCTTTCAACTTTTGAATTTAGTTCGTATATACAGCCACGGTTTCTTTGAGTTAAGTCGTATGCTAATGAGGAAAAATGTAAACAATGACGTCAGCAAAGATTCGCCTATACGATACGAGTAATCTTAAACTCGACTCAACACGAAATCATAGAAAGTCGTTTGTCAAGGCAAAATTGTCATTACCAGTCAAAATACGGAAAAAGTCGGCGAACATGTTTCTGAAGATTTTGAGCACTGTTTAAACCTTTTTTTAAAAATGTGAATAGTAAACAAACGAGACGGGGAGGGGGTGCTCTCCTGTAAAAATGACGCGCGTGCTCGTCGGGAAATTAGAATTAAGCCCCCTAATGGAGACCAATCTAGGCGCGGCTCAAACTGTATTTGACCTCAAAAGGAGGCCATACTCTAACACAGTATGACGGCATTTGTTAGCCCCTATTAGAGGTATTTCGCTACGCTTAGTGATACCTTTTTGTGGTTTCTAAACATTGGCTTTCTGCCCGAAACGCCCCCAGAAAGACTTTAATTTGCAATTTCTACCCCTAATCGAGATGAACCTACATTAGTGGACGTCGCATGCTGATGTGTTACTATGCCGATGGCAATGAAAATGGGTTAAAGCTGTTTTATAATCACCGATTCCTTTGACATTACTGTATTTACTCGAATAAGCGCCACGGTGCTTATTAAAATTTTCATGTCTCAAATGCGGTGCTTATTCGAGGCTGCTCTTATTTTAAAGTTGGACGCGACAAAGAACTGTTTCTTTTCAGTAACCGATATTATTTTATTTTATAACAGAAACGTCTTTTGGTTTTGATTGCATTGGTGTCGCGCCGCGTATTTGGGGGTGGCGCTTATTAACTATTTTTGTCCCAAATGCGGCGCTTTAAATTATTTGAGAGCCGCAATAAATCGGGGGGCGCTTATTCGAGTAAATGCGCTATTTTACCATGAAATTTTGTTTGTTACTAGGAACCTAATACGGAAACAAGACGTCCTAGGGTACCGTAAAAGTCCTAAAAGTTGGCCGGTCTGATTTTCATCTCAGCTCTCTTGACAGAGTATTGATTTCCTTTCCATGTATTCCAGATGATACCTTGACCTTTATGTGCACGTGAACCGTTGTAGTACAAACCATTCAGGTTTGAAGCATGGCAATTAGTGTACCACCAGGCTCCTTTGAAGTACGCAGCGCAGTTGAATTTGGCACTTTCATCATGATCTCGGTCTTTAGTGGTAAACGGATGGCCACGATGCACCGATAATGAGTCACCAGCAGTTCCTGCAGTCATACAAGGACATTTTACCAGGAATGTTTGGAGTAGAATACCTGAATGTAATCTAGTATTGAAGTACAAGAGGGGAGCTACGTTTGGAAAAGTAACTGAGCTCCTTTTGAAACTTCCTAGAGTTTTCAAGTTTGCAAGAAGTCAAGAAACCGCCAACAAACAAGCCTTGAACGAATAATTAAGACACGAAGACAAAATACTAAACATCAAAATTAAATACATTCCAAGCACCATACCTGAGTACATTCCTAGACTGAGCTTGTATTTAGTCGTTTCGTTTGTAACTTCAAATATGTCATATTCAGCGTAAGCAGTGCTGAATGTAAAGTCCTCCAGATCAACTCGAAGGCGGTTGCGTTTCTTTTCCGTCAGGCGGTAAATCTTGTCCAATCCAAGCCAGAACTCGCCATTCAGGTCACCGAACCCATTTTTGTAGTCATCCCAGGAACGGTAGAAATAAACCGAGCCGTCCAGTCTCTTCTGAAACACTGTCCACCCCCCTCCGGTTGTTTTTTGATCACAGAACACATCAAAGGCACCTTCACCATCAGGGTCGATTGTGTACACACCGCTGATTGTTTTGCCAGCTTTGTATAGCTCAGCACAGTTCCTATTGGCTGTTCAGGAAAGATGACCTTAAAATTACTTAAGGTGGCTCGATACAGTTTGTCAGGGTCAATACCTCCCAAGTTTGAGCGTAAACTACGACGCCATAAACAAAGATTTGGAAAAATTAACACCACAGTTGTATTAGATAAAGATGAAAATTTGTTATGATCAGGGTTACAATGAGATCGGAGTTGTCATAGCAACGAAATGACGCCATTACCTATTTTACTTGCAGCAGTATTTCTCAGCACTGGGAACTGTTCTTCCAAAATCGTTTACTGGAGCTTTTACCTACGATAGCTGCCTCGATGTTCATGAAGTTTAAGCGAAATCTGTAAGAGCGTTATCGAGATATTCTGGGATGAAGTTTTTCTGGTTAGAAATACGGTAAAAAATTGACAATCTTGATGTTGGACTGTTATCTGTACTAAACGAAGCGCTTTTGACATGCAATTTCACCTCATAGTAGTTTCAATCTTTTTAAAAACGTGTGTGAAAGATCATGGAGATACCTTCAGCGGATTGCTAGAAAGAAGGATTTGATTAGTACGTATAGGGGCGCTCTTGTTAGCGGTAATGTAAACATTTCGGTCTACTTTAACAAATTAGCGAATAATTTTTGAACCGCTCGATAAATTTTCTAAAAAATTTACAAGTGTTGAGATAAACCGTCCTTTTATTTGACCTCTTAGTTTCAAGATTATTGATATATTGTAAGGTAGTAAAATAAGGGCTACAATTCGCTAATATTTTGTCAGAAATTTTGTCTTTACAAGTGAGAGCCTCTTATTATTCAGGGGTATTGTCTCAAAGTTTCATTTTCACGTGAACAGCAGTAACTAACAATGCATTTGACATATGCAAAACTGCTAGCTATTGTTGTGCACGAAAATATGAAACTTGGAGACAATAGCCCTGAATAATGAGAGGCTTTCACTTGTAAACACAAAATTTCTGACAAAATGTTAGCGAATTCAAGCCCTTATTTTACTGCCTTACAATATATCAATAATTTTGAAACTAAGAGGTCATATAAAAGGAGGGTTAATCTCAAGACTCTTAAATTTTCTAAAAAATTTATCGAGCGGTTTAAAAATTATTCGCTAATTTGTTAAAGTAGACCGAAATGTTTACATTACCGCTAACAAGAGCGCCCCTATACGTACTAATCAAATCCTCCTTTCTAGCAATCGGCTGGAGGTATCTCCATGATCTTTCACACACGTTTTTAAAAAGATTGAAACTACTATGAGGTGAAATTGCATGTCAAAAGCGCTTCGTTTAGTACAGATAACAGTCCAACATCAAGATTGTCAATTTTTTACCGTATTTCTAACCAGAAAAACTTCATCCCAGAATATCTCGATAACGCTCTTACAGATTTCGCTTAAACTTCAGGAACATCGAGGCAGCTATCGTAGGTAAAAGCTCCAGTAAACGATTTTGGAAGAACAGTTCCCAGTGCTGAGAAATACTACTGCAAGTAAAATAGGTAATGGCGTCATTTCGTTGCTATGACAACTCCGATGTCATTGCAACCCTGATTATAACCAATTTTCTTCTTTATCTAATACAACTGTGGTGTCAATTTTTCCAAATCCTTGTTTATGGCGACGCAGTTTACGCTCAAACTTGGGAGGTATTGACCTTGAAAAACTATATCGAGCCACCTTAAAATAGAAAGGAGACGTGTGACGTCACGTTACTATGGTAGCAAAATTACCAGATCACAACAATAGGGAGCTTGAGCAACGACGACGGAGACGGCGACGGCAACGAGAAGAGCAAAAAAAGCAATAGGTTTATACTAGTAATAATTGCCAATTTGGGGAGTGCGTTCGATGGGGAGGGGTGGGGTGAGTACACACTGTAGTGAGTGGTAGTCATAAGGGGATGTAAAACTTAAATGAGCTTGTGAGATTGAGAAATCAAAATAACATGTGTATTTCGGATCTCCTCAGAATATTAGTGTGCGACATGTATGACAATATGAGTCAGGGAAAATTTAACTCTTTCAAAGAAGTCAGAGGGAGGAGACATACTCACAAAAGTTAAACATGTTCCATTGGCAGAATATTGTTTCATGAAATTAAACGACAAGCAGATATAGGGTTTCCTATAAGATCTATCCATTCTGCACTTTACATTCACGATAAATTCATGTAATAAATGGGTGGAGAGGATGGCCGGTTGTGATGGGAGTTTGGTCATTTACTTCGTGTACCCGACATAGATGACGTAAAACAAAAGAACAAAAACCATGAAACAATACCAAGCAGATTTTTCCCTGAACAGACAACAAAGAAGCGTTTTGTTTTACGTCATTTGTGTCCAGTACACGAGGTTTCGACCGGAGTTTAGAAGCCATTGTCTGCACAAATTGTCAATTCATTTGGTCAGGAAAGTGTACATGTGGCTGTCATGATCAGTTTAGGAATTTCAAAACCTATGCCTCAGGCAACCATGTCTCAACAATGTCATGAATGTTGGCAATTGAGAAACTGATCACCTTCAACATGACTTGTGCGTGGACACTAAAAGGATCGTTTAGTTTTACGGCACAATGAACTGGTGGCGTTACAGCTGTGTTTTCCTGTCTCACACTCGTTTCTGTCTGCAAATTAAGAGTTAACGTTGAATTATCAAACCGTAGATCTGTTTTAGAAAGCATCATAATATGCCGTCCACGTTCCTATTTTGTCGATGCCTTTATCATTTCAACATTATTCAACGCAAGTAAACCCGAGAAAAGAAGAAGAAATTACTAAAGTATACATTTCAATTAGCATAACTTGAAGTGCTCGGTGGTATATTTACCTGCACATTTATGTTCATGTCCACTTTTGCAAACACACTTGTAATGTCCTTTAGCGTTTTCGCACTCTGCAATATCGGTGTCACATAGGTGTTCTCCAGTCTCACACTCGTTTATGTCTGCAATCAAGAGTTAATGCTGAATTATCAGCAGACTTTGTTCGATTTTTATGTCCACTCAGTTTTACGTGCTGCACACTTGGAAAGCTTTCGCTGGGGGAATTTAGCCTGAGAAAAAGAAAATTTTGGCGGATCGAGCACGCAAAGCCGGTCAGAATAATAGGGCTAGGAAATGCACACGCCAAAATGTCCCTCGAAATCGCACATGTGAGCCTGTTCGCACCAACATTTTCATGGATACGACCTGTGGGGTGTTTCTTGGTGATGAGAAAACTATTGTTGGTTAGCTATTGTTATGTGGTGTGGATATTGTTCAGTGTCTTTTTAATCTTTTGTATTACGTCATTTTGTGGTTGCGCGCGTCCACACCACCAAGACTACCGAACTGTGACATACCACTGACTAAATATGAAACCGATTTCCAGCTTTCTCATTGGCTCTAATCTTTATGGTATGGAATAGCATAAAACTAAAGATGAAATGCTGTTAGTTTAAGCTCCGTATGGTTGGCTACCTGCACAGTTAACACCATCCCCAGTATATCCTCGCTTACAAGTACAAGTGAAGGAACGCTTGGTGTTGGTGCAGTATGCATCATTGTGGCAGTTGTGTAGTCCTGTTTTACACTCATCTACAAATCAGCAAGTGGAAGTTAGGTAAGAATTTGACGTAAAGTAATCCACCGACAAACTCAGTTTTCAGTTTCAGCCGATCAAGAGTTGTTTAAATGGTTTATTTGCAACAGTTCAAGTGAGTTCAAAATTTTTATAATCTATGAATACTCTTCGTTCAATGTCACCAACCACTGCGTGATTTACTAAAACAAGTTTGTTAATAATAATAATAATTTACATTTATATAGCGCAAACCTCTATATGAATATATTCGGTTGCGCTTTACAATATTGTTATATTAAATTTATGTTAAAGGTGACTAAAGCATGAGCAACTATTAAAAACTACAATAAAAAGTATTAAAAACTATAAATAAAAATAAATAAATAAATAATGATAATAATTAAAAAAAAAAAAAAAAAAAAACTATTATAAAAGCCAACAATTAAATCTATTTAAAAGCTAAATTGAAAAAATGAGTTTTAACAGCAGTCTTAAAAGTGTCCAATGTCTTCATGTTGCGAATTTCCGAAGGTAATGCATTCCAGAGATAAGGTGCAGCTGACTGGAATGCACGATCGCCAAGAGTTGGATGGGTCTTAATGCATGGTAACTCGAGGAATATAGACTCATTTGACCTTAGAGAGTACTTGGATTGCTTTTTGGTAGTAATGAAATCAATTAGATAATTAGGAGCTTGACCATATAAGCACTTAAATGTCAAAAGTAGAATCTTAAACTTTATACGGTAACTTATTGGAAGCCAATGAAGGTGGAAAAGCAATGGTGTAACATGGCAGAATCTAGGTGTTCCGGTGACCAACCGAGCCGCGGCATTCTGTATCCGTTGGAGTTTCATGATATGTGAATTCGGGAGGCCATATAGTAGACTGTTACAATAATCTATTCTACTGGTGATAAAAGCATGAACTAATGATTCGGTGACTGAACGACTTAAATATTTCCTAATTCTACGCATGTTATAAAGATAATTGAAAGCGGATGAGCAAGTTTTGTTGATATGACTTAGCATACTCATTTTAGAATCAAACCAAGCTCCTAGGTTTCGAACTTCAGAAGATGGAGCAATTTGGGAGTCCCCAACCGATAAGGACTTGGAACGTTAGTCTCAAAACTTCAATCAAGAAACTTTGCACAACTAAAGACGCATTGTGTAGTGCTGCCAGGGCTACACTCAGGGGCACCCAATGGATCTGTTCCTCAAAATATCTGTTCTTCAGACCAATTTTTGCTGGCTGAGAGATGTGGAAGAAATAATATGTCCTTGGAAGGAAAGTGTTGATATTTAGAATAATTACTATGTGTTATGGATCAGAAACCCCTTCCTCACCCCCGCCCCCCTCCCCAAATTTATTTGGGCACACAGTTTAATTTTTCTCAGTGATATCATCTCCATACGCATGCCGTGGGAGAACTGTTTTGCAGTTCCCAACCAACAGCTACCACTTGTTTACGGTGGAGCTGGCGCTTAAAGCAGTGTTTGACAGCTCGGCAGTAAATGTTCTTTGATACGCCAGTAATCCCCCGATAATTGACCCAACGGCTATGCCAGGCGGGTGAGCCCCAATAAGGGCGAACCAGCTGTCTATGGCTGCCACTGCTTGGGTGATATGGTTGTGCGCATGCATAAGGTATTGGCCATAACGCAGTGATGGTACGTGTGCTTCAGTGCAGTTAATTGGTATTGTTAAAAATTTAGCCTCTCATATCACTTGTGCGCTATAACTGAAGCTGTTCTTCATGAAGTTAGTTCCCACTCAGTTTGTTAACAAAGTCCCTTAGAGAGTAGTGCGTTTCCCATCGTTTAACAATTTAGAGGGTAAATATCCGGGAACAAGATCATTTAAAGACTTGTGAACCATTAGGGCTTTTTGTATTTGAAACTGAGTGCTAAAGTCTTTCCAATTAAGTTGTTTAAATTAGCGGTTGGCATAAGCATCACATCTAGAAAAGGTTAGAACACGAGCAGCACGGTTCTGAAGCTTCTGTAACCTGTCAAACAAAGTTTTTCTATTATTACCCCAGACAATATCACTATAATCGAATTAAGATTGAATGAGGAGCGTTGTATATACAATGGAGAGTAGGCGTTGGAACAAAAGCTTTGAGGATCTGTCCCTTGAAATCCTTAGTACACCCCCTCCCCCCCCCGGGTATCCGCGTGGGATTTTTTCGTCCCATGAGCGACAACGCTTCCAATGAAGAGAAGGGGTTGAGAAATGCATAATTTACATTGTTCTTTGTATAACAAAAACGACCCCAACCCTCCTTAAGGTGGCTCCGTAATTAATACAAGAGCATTTAGTGGTGACAAATTTTCCGTCATAACTTTTTCGACTTTAACGCGATGGCTGCGAAACTTTGAAAAGAGCAACAGATATCATTCGGCAATAATACGAAATATTTCGATTTCATTGATGGTAAATATTTCTTGAGAAATTAGCGCTTAAAAGGACCCTAATGTTCAAAGAAAATCGCGTTTAGTAAAAAATTTTGCTGATATTTTTTACTGAAATTTCTGGTATCGGCTTTAATTGATATAATAAATATGCCAGAGGAATTTCAGAAAAATCGTTGGAGCAGAAGTCCGTAACTAAAAGTCACTCAAAATTCAGCTGTGAAATTGTTTTGGAATTTTAAAAATAAATTACTATCAGGTAGAAGGAGCCACCAGTTTGAATTTTCGGGACAAGTAAATTCAACGTTTGCTAATTCTTAAAACAAAAGCCGATTGCCTATCGTGCTATTCTTTAAAAGGTACTTTTTAGTTTTAGAAGCACTATGAATTGCTCCAAACCTTGCTCTGAAGTAGAATTACTTGTTCTTCGACAGTTTTAAAATATCCCTTGGTAGTTTTGGCTCAAACTCCTGCTGCATACATTTTGATGTATTGCAATGTATTTTCAGCGACTTTTACTGCTGTTCGTTGCTTCCAACTCAGAAAGAAAGTATTGAGATTGGACGCTACCTCGTATCAGAGCTCAGATAGAACTGTCCAGCACCTTTGTTTATGACTACAAAATGAGCACGAGCGGCAGTTCTGCGAGGAATTCGCAACTCACCCAGGGGGGACAAACGACAATGATGACCATGCCTGTGAACCGAATAACATCACAGTGCAAAATAAAATTATCGCAAAAATACTGCCCGTGAATAAATTTACAACTCTGAAATTTTTGTCACTCCTTTCTTCAATGAGTGGGTATTTTTTTCTTGATTATTATGTTTTGCTCTGCAATACATGTTTATACAGATCGGTTCACAGACATGGGCATCATTGTCATTCGTCCCCCCTGGCTGTGGTGCGATTTCCTCCCAGAGCTGCCGCTCGTGCTCATTTTCTGGTCATAAACAAAGGTGCTGAACAGTTCTATCTGAGCTTCGATACAAGGTAGCTTACAATCCCAATACCTTTTTCCTGAATTGGAAACAACATACAGACATACAGCAGGAAAAGCCGTTGAGGATGCATTGCAATACATCAAAATGCATGTAGCAGGAGTTTGAACCAAAACTGCCAAGGGATATTTTAAAAATGTCGAGGAACAAGTCATTCGACGTCAGAGCAAAGTTTGGAGCAATTTATAGTGCTTCTAAAACTGAAAAGTACCTTTTAAAGAATAACACGATAGGCAATCGGCTTCTGTTTTCAGAATTAACAAACACTGATTTTACTTGTCCCGAAAATTGAAACTGGTGTCTCCTTCTTCCTGATAGTAATTTATTTTTGAAATTCAAAAACAATTTCACAGCTAAATTTTGAGCGACTTTTAGTTACGGACTTCTGCTCCAACGATTTTTCTGAAATTCCTCTGGCATATTTATTATATCAATTAAAGCCGATACCAGAAATTTCAGTAAAAAATATCAGCAAAATTTTTTACTAGACGCGATTTTCTTTGAACATTAGGGTCCTTGTAAGCGATAATTTCTCAAGAAATATTTACCATCAGTGAAATCGGAATATTTCGTATTATTGCCGAATGATATCTGTTGTTCTTTCCAAAGTTTCGCAGCCATCACGTTAAAGTCGAAAAAGTTATGACGGAAAATTTGTCACAGCTAAATGCTCTTGTATTAATTACGGAGCCACCTTAAGTTATTTTTACTTGTACTTAATTATTCATCCCATGGTTTTTTATCACTCACCTAAACAACTGATTTCAATCTCTCTCATGATCTCTTCCATTTCTTCTCTGTTTCTTTCCTGCTCTTTAATTATCTCTTCTTCTTCTTTATTCATCGGAACGGGACAAACTGCGAAACAGCAAAACAATAAATGAACAGTAATTATAAATCCATAAGTAGGTGGAGCATGATCGTCAGGGTGTAGTCCTGAATAGGACTGTGTCGGGTAGTCATCTTCATAGTCAAAGTCGTTTGTTGTTATAGTCGTTTATTGTTAGTCAAATTGTCTCTTTCCTATAAAGTCACTTCTGTTTTTGTCAGTTTTGAGTCCGCCATAAGTCGTTTGTACCGTGCCCGTTGACTGCTATTCCAGTGGCTTATGGTCTAATTTAGTAAGCCAGCTTTCTAAGATGAGTACTAGTTATGGTAGTCTGTAGAATGCGTAATACGTGTCGCAGAGTCCCGGTCGATTTAATGTTTCGGGTGGAAATGGTGCATGTTCAGCAATAAGAAGTGTGATTGTTGGCATCACCATTTCTTCTCGCTGGATCGTCGCTGTTAAACTGTGACAAAAGACCGATCGAAACGACCCGAGTCTTCATAGCCAATAACAACACGGCTTAACTGACACAAGACCAATCAAGGGAGACTTAATTAACCAATCAGGTCAATAACCAGAGTACAATACAGATATCATTCGTAACCGTCGCCGTCGTTGTTGCTTTATAAGCTCCCTATTATAGACCTTCGCCACGGTAGTATAGGAACAGGAATAATTATAATTTTATAACAATAGAAAAATGAAGACGATAATAATAATAATAATAATAATAATAATAGCACGATTTTCTAAGATACAAATTCATTTAAAATCTATTAAGAAAGTAAAACAGAGGATCAGTCTTGAACGAAAGCGTTTGGCTGGTTTTGAAGTCTTGATCGCACATTTTTTTATGTGTAAAAATCATTATTTCATTTTTCTTTACTTCAGAATGATTTTTTGACAGCTTTCTGTATATGAAACAGCAACAGCAACAGGGTGCTTAAACATAATGCCTACAAACAGGTGCGCAATAAAATTTTGGTCCTGATGTCATTAGTCATTACCTCCATGGTTTACAACTTCCTGTACCATCATCACAGCTGGGAACATGATAAAGGAACTGATAACTATCAATGTTGTCATGTCAGCCATCGTCGAAGCTTGTAAAAAATAAAATAATATTCAATAATATCCATTGACATATAAAAATATTGAATAATATTCATCAACATTTAAAAATGTCAATGAATTTCGTTGGTGATGGAGAACCGATGCATAACCAGGAGTCGGGGTAGAAAGAGGAGGCCCTGGAAAATTGCGGTGGAGCTGTGCGCCGTAATATAATTCCTAAATCCCTTACCCTATTTCACACCAAAAAATGTGATTTTCCTTACTCTGTTCTATTTCAGGTTAAAACTGGGGATAAATTCTCTCCGCCATTTTCAGACCAAAAGGGGTATAGCTATACAGCTTATAGCGGAGCTCTCGCGCGCGAAGCGTGCTAGTGGAGCCCCATGGGTAAGACAATTTGGTAAACTATCCATCCGAGAAAATTTGGTTATGACGTAGCGTACGCCCGCCCGCCCGCCCTCGCGTACACACTTCATGTAAGCCGATGTCAAGTGTCACACTTGTCAGGACCGAGAAATAAATAACAACGGAGACTAATGTCGTTGGAAGAAAACCATGAAAATTACATAGCGGCGGTTAGAAAATGAAGAATGCTAGCGGCTATTAATGTGAAAAAGGAGCGGCAGTGAAAAAATAGAGTGAACAGGAACACAAACATTTCCTCCACAAAACGCGTAAATAGGAAGCTAAAGGAAGTTTCACGTTAGTCGTGTAAAACAACGGTAAGAAAATGTACAGAAAAAAACTGCTGCACGCGCAGGGATGTTTTTTTGCTAATTAGATCTATTGTTGTTGTTTTTAGCGTTCTCGTTGCTTTCAACTTGTCTTTAGTATTCGTCGATTTTATATTTTCTTTGAGGAATCTATAAATATTAAAGAGAGCTTCGCTTTTAGCCCTGGCTAAATGTATATATTATACATACCCAAGGGGCATAATATAATACGGATAACTATATGGTCCTATCAGTTATATAGCCGGAATAATACCCCGGGTACAACTTAGATAAAGAAGTACCCCCAGGAAATTTATCCGATTGCAGACCATTCTCGAGTTTATTGGATCGCACCAAAGTCAATGTCAAAAGCCTGCATTTAAGCTTACTAAGAAAGAGTTGAAACCGCGATTCAAGAACAACTAAAAAACGAAATATGAGACAGTTTTTTTATCTCCCCGATATTGATGTATTTTTAGAGAAAGATCCAAGCAGCTGCCGGCTCAAATACGTTTGATGCTAGTGCAATTTTCAGAGCTATTTCCAGTCAATAACTCGATCCCTTAATTCACGTATTACATAAAATGTATCGTCCCATAGATGCGGAAACCGTGAAACAGAGAAATCAAAATTGGTCATCCAGGCTAACAAGTGGAAACAAGTGGTTTTTCTCTGTTAAAAATGGCTAAAATCAGCACTTTCCCAACGCAGTCCAATAACGAACTGAACAGTCTCTGAGAACCGGGAAAAATGCGATAAAATAGTAATAATATTACACAAACATTTTAAGTGAAATTCTGAATGGACAGAGTCATAAATAAGAGTGCTTTTATGTACCACTCTTGAGCGATGAACCGACCAAATAAAAGAAATAAACTGGTCTACAAGGGACAACCTTGCAGCCGTATTTAAAAACCAACAAAGGTAAAGTTTATTTGCTGGCTCTTCCTCAGTCGTATTCATGCATGCTACATGAAATAAACAAAAACTACGTAACTGATGCGCTTGAAACATTATGTAATATATCAGACAGTTACTGGATCGAATTAGAAGAAACAAAATTTCTGAGGACAAAGTCGTAAATAGATAAGTGCTTCTATGAACCAACTCTTGCAAACAATGAATCGTCCAGAAAAAGGTGCTCTATAATGGAATAACCTTGCAGTCTAGATAGCAACAAAGAAAATATATTCACTGACTCGTATATGCGACGGTCAAAAAAGAAAAAAGAAAAAGAACTTTAAAAAAAAATATGCCAACTGATGCGTAATTTGAAACACAGTCCCCACTTTTTGAAGAAAAATAAGAAAAGAAACGAAACACACATTTTCAAATAAAAGGAATCTTTGATGGAATAAGAATATTCGATTGGCAGACATCGCCGAAGCATCCAAATTGATGATTGGTCCGTTTCGATACTATATCATATTGTGATCCTCACTGAAAACGACTATCTTCACAAAACTCGGGGACACCCAGAGACTATAATCTGTAAAATAACTGTTCGAAGGAGCAAATATTGCCTAGAAATTTCTTAACCTTTAGAGGAGCTAAACATTTCTGGATAACCGTTCCATGTTTTCGCACTTTAGTATCAAGATATTGCAGAGCATGATAAATGAAATTGTCCCGATCTGCAAGCTTCTGCTGGTAAATCCGCAACCATCGCAGCAGGAAAAGGTCAATTTCGGCAGCTCGAATGTTAAAACCGTCTGAAACATAGCTCCATTCCGTGACAATGAATAAAGAAAGGTTCTAAACGGCCGCAAGGAGAAAACGGACAAGTTTTTGAAGTAAATGAAACACGCGAAAATTATGATGCTGCTGTGCACAGTTACACCTTTTTGTTGCTAACTCCTTTCTCGTTTGTTAAACTGTTAAAAAAAAAGATTGATGAGTTGTAACTGTGTTAAAAAATATTGAGTCGGCACCAGGTGAACCATTTTTAAAGTCCACAACCCGACAACCTCCCACCCTCCCCCAACTTCACTTCAAAAGAAGTGGATCGGTCCCCGCACTTTGAAAACATGTTCCGCGGGCCCTGGATATATCAGGCAATTATTGAATTAAAAGAAAACAAAATTTAATAACAAAAAAAATACCGAGATGAAAAGAATTAGAACATACAATTTGAATTTATCGTATTCGAAAAACACTATTTAAAATACTGTTTCATCACTCTTTCCGTCAAGGATGATTCTGATTCCAACTTCTGCTCTGTTTCACATCAGTGAAACTGTATAAATTTAGCCTCGAAATAAAGAACTAAAAACCTGATAGAAATATGAGGTAAGTAAAACTCCTGTAAAGATGGGACAGAACAGTTTGCGGACGAAAAAGCGTGTAGTTCGTACTGAAAAGCACGACAAAGCAACTAAAGGGTTCAGTTATGTTAGGGGAAACGCGCCATCTTTCGATGCTATACAAAGAAAAACTGGTTTTGTTCAAGATTTTGGTCTACACACCGGTCTTCGCACATATTTTTAAGGCACAGTAAAACCTCATGCTAGGGGAACAGTTTAAAATGTAAGAGAAAAAATACACTGAAGGCTTTCAAAGTTGACCGTCACAACCTGCAAATTCCTATTTCTTCTGAGACTGATAAACAATTCTCATTTCCAATCCCACGCTCCGCCACTTTTTAAACAGTTAACTATACTTCAATAACTTTATATTTCGTTTTTATAGACTTATATGTTTAATATATAGATTTAGCCACAGCTAAAAGCGAAGCTCTCATTGATAAATTTATAACTTAAATCAAACAATTTTGTATTCCACAAATCAGTTAACTTAAGGGCACATTCATGTGACTTTTGAGGGAAAAGCTAAGTGATTTTGGAGTAAAACAAATCTTGTATCGAGTTGATATAGCCTTATATGTACACCCAAAAAATAGACTTCGGTCACATTTAAGAGCAATAATGGCTCTTGATCACAGTAGATAGGGCGTGGAAAACAAATTCTTGGAAAACAAATCAGGCCGAATTTTTTGCGTTCGACAAGTTTACAAATTCTTGCCAATACATCTGGGTGCGTGCAAACGGCATTTTTTTATTTTTTTTTTGCACACCACATCTGAGGATAAAGAGTACTATGACGCGCTTATCATACAGACCTCGTACAAAACGCAGTATTTCACAATTTTTCACGACAAATTGCATTCATTCAATACTCAGGACCATCGAAGCACGCGTGGACTTTTAATTAGCGAAACCGTTCAAAAAATGTTCAAAATCACCTATACGGCCAGCCGCTTCTAACTTTTGACAAGCGCCAAATTTGCGAAGAAATTTTAAAAGAGTTACGCTTCAACGTGATAAAGAATTTATTGAGTCTATTTTTTATCAATGGTTTTATAACGATGTGTAATCTTAAAAAGCGTTTGATACGCTCGGCATTTTGAGTACTCCTGCAAGCGATGTTTATGAACGCCTGAAAACAAACGGCAGAGCGATGAAAATTACACTTTTGAGACTACCAACAATCAATAAAGAAACATAATTCCGTAGAACATTTACAGAGACAACAATTTTCATTCACGAAAACAAATGAGTATTTAAGTGTCTCTAAGAATCCCCAAGTCTTTACTAGTAAGCTTAAAGATTAAGTTTATGTTTTAAGCCGCCGGTTTCACGGTGTTTGCTTTTTTCAAAGATGAACTCACGACAAGAAAATCGCTCAAAGCTTTCTTTCTACCGCCAAAATTATAACTAAATATTCTTCGGAAAGTTTTTTCTTTCTATTTACGGTGAGTGAATATCGACTAAAGGCTTTTTAAAGTTCTGTAAGCTTAAGCTTATATCAAACCTCATACTAGGCCAGATCAGTGTCTCAGTCAAATCTTAATACAAACGTGCATAAACTAGCTTCATAAACTGCGCCGCTGGACTTCATGAAATTAGATATTCATACAATAATTACTCAGGCTTACCATATTTCGAGATGCAGCTCCTGAAAGCTATCAAGTAAGGCAAGGATCGCTTGAGCCTTTATAATTCTCGTTCGCATCCAGCAAGGTGAAAAACAAAAACGATGCCATCCGAAATCGGATTATCGGCTTTGACAAGCGACTCATTTCTCAACCAAAAACCCAATGAACAAACCAGCCATGAATAAGAGAACACTCTTGATAGCAGCTGTATTTCATTTTTTACATCCAGTGGAAAAAGACAGTTAAAAACATCACAAGTTGACTCAAAACTCTGTCAGCTTCAGCTGTCAAAGTAAACAACTTTCAAGATGCTGCATAAATTTTAACGAATGAACTCGCCTGTCAAATTTTAACCAATCGGAGCATACAAATTC